TGAGGATGCCTCCAGTGTGTTCTAGGATTTGGTTCTCTGCACACCTAAACATGTCTAGTGAATATTTTTACATATGTGCAGCCTTGGCAAACCATTGCATGAAAAAAGACCATAACGTTCTGTGTTTCTTACTGTCTGACTTTTAAAAACTAGTCACAGGTGATGATTCAGTGTATATAATGGCATCAGCTGTCAAGATTGGGCTTTCCCTTGAAATCTATAGTACAAATTTGTGTACAGTAGTTGATTGGGGGGGGGGGTTAATTGAATTTAGGATTATTGAGTTCTATTTACTTTCTGCTGCATTAAACTTCTATTCCCTTTTGTCATTTTGAAAATGGCATCTAATATGTAAGTTAGTGGAGATTGCAGTGCTGGTTCTCATGCTGTTATAAGCAAGATGGATTGCTTAAATAACTGATTTTAAATAACTGACTGAAGATTTTAAACTTACCATGTCTTTATGCAGTCCCATGAGGAAGCAATTACTTTCCAACCTTGAAGAAGTCTGAGCAAACATGTAGGATAGAAATGAAGTTTCAAGATGGTGTAGGAAGTCACATGCAAGACAAACCCTTGCATCCAGAGTGTCAAAACGTTTTGTTTCACATGGCTGGATGTAAACTTTCACAAAAGGTTTTATGGAAAAAATGGAGCAATATATAACCTTAGACTGTCTGTCTAGGCTTAATGGTTGCTTGTTAACTAGAAGGATCTCTGATTTCAGAGTTAATTATTGGCTATCATCTGGTCTGTGAGTTCATAGTGTAATATTTTCATCACCTATTTATTTTGAATAATTTATATATTATGAGGAGAATCTTGTTTTTTCAAATCTGTGTCAGCCCATAATTCAGTATTTCAAGAGTTTTGATGCTGTACTGCAATGTTTTAGGCTTTGAGTCTCTTGCTTTTTTTTTCTTTTCCTTTTCTCCTGCTTTTTTTTTTCCTTTTCCTTTTCTCTCTTCCTTTCCTTTTTTCCCTTTCCTTTTCTTCTTACCCTCTCTCTTTTTCCTGCCTCTTCTCCACAATAAATTGCTCCATAGAGAAACAATGCATCTTCTATTTTTTTGGTCTGACCTGGCTGGCTACCTTTTAATGCCAGCAAAAGTAACATTATTTCTAACTAGTGCTTCTCTACATAAAGTGTGGTATAATATATATTAATGTGTTTTCATGTAATTTATTCATATGTGATAAAGAAATAAAAAAGGAAAACCTGCATTTTTAGTGGCACTGAAAGCCAGTGAGAAGTCAGTAGTATTTTTATAGCTGCACTGCTGTGTAAAAACTGGAGCATAAAGACATAGGACAGTTCCTTCTGAATCAGACAGTTGCCCATCTATCCTACTGTTCTGTCTCAGAGGCAGTGGGAGATGCTGTTTATCCCATGAACCTGGCAATTTTCCATCTTCTATTTTACTGTCCCAGCACCCAAAATTGTATTAAAGAGGAGTGCATCTCTGATTCATCCTTTCAGTATCTACGTGGACATTAGTGAGAATTTTTGGACATGAGAAAGCCTTTCTTCACTGAAAGGGTTGTCAGCCATTGGAAAAGGCTGCCCAGGGAAGTGGTGGAGTCACTATATCTGAAAGTGTTCAAGAAATGAATGGACATGGCACTTTGTGTTGTGGTCTGATTGATAGTGGAGACCAGTGAGAAGTTGGACTCACTGATCTTGGAGGTCTTTTCCAACCTTTTCCAACTCTATGATTTAGGAATTTATTGTTTGTTAATTTTTTAAAACCTTTCTGAATCCTCTGGGATCATCTGGCAGGAGAACATCTCAGATGCCCTTTTACAGACTTTTAAATTACCCTTTCTTAAAGTGCTCTCTCTTCTACCAGCCTTGTGCTGCTCTCCTATTAATTATTGCATTTCAGGATTTGGTGACCAACAGTTTTTCAGTCACTTTATCCACTACCTTTGTGTTTCCCTAAATGCTGATGTCTTGTCCATTGGTCTCCTGGTTTCCAAACTAAAAAGTGCAGGCCATTTTAATCACTTCATAAGTCCTTTGATCGTTTTTAGCTGCCCTTCCTTGGACTTTCTCTAAGTCTGTGAAAAGGAGAGGGAAGAAAAAGAGAAAAAAACAGAGGAGTATGCGTGAAGTGTTCATACAGGAGTTCTCACAGAGGCTGTGACAAGCAAGCATATGGGTCTTTTTTTCTCATTTCATACTCAAATTTGAGAAAAAAAATATATTGAAACAATGTGGCTTTTAATCAATCTTCATTACTAAAATAAGTTGAGATGACACCTCAAGCTGTGTTAGGAAAAGCAGAAAATACAGACAGAAGCATAAGTGTGGAGGAATGAAAATACTGAAAAAGATGCCTGGTGACATATTATCACAAAGTAAGAGTCATAAGTAGAAGGAACAGTAAAGGAAATACAAAACTTAAGGAGAACATTTTCTGCTCCTCTGTATTCTTCCCATTGTGTCCAGGCAGTTGCATCTTCTGATAAGATAAATGTTCTTTTTTCAGCAAACAGTTGTATCAGAACTGTATCTCTTGATAAAAACAATACTAACTGATTTTACTTGCAGTACGTGATTATTCCCTCTTATGGTTTAAGTAAAGCTGAAAGAATGATTGGCACTTGTTAGATGGCAAAAGCAGGGTGTGGAGACAACATCTGAGAGCAAGTATTTGCAGTGGATATAAAGAACATTTTGACTTAGCAAATCTTATAGTAATATTATGAGACACTTGTATAAACTTGTTATGTGTGACATCATTGAGACTGTAATTCCATATTATGAAAATGAGAATTGCAGGAGAATAAATGATGTTCAGCGGAACATCAATCAGTCTCATGCCTGGAGCTTTAAGAAGAAGGGATAATGGCAGCAAAGTCCCTGCGTGTAGGGAAGTTCAGAAGTTCAAAAGACTGATACCAGGCAGATTTAAATGGGTCAGTCCCTGTGATATCTGAGCTGTGTGTCAAAAAAAAAAAAAAAAAAAGAAAGCAAGCAGAAGTAGTTTTGTAGTTTCATCCAGCCTTGAATTTCTGAATATTTTGTCTTTGTCCTTACAGATGCTAAACATGACTTTGTGTTGTCCAGCGTACAGTGTGCAGCGTGAAATTCTTTGAATCCTTTGTCCCTTAATGTTGCTTTCAGGAGGATTCAGGACTGTATTCCCCAATCATATATATGAAGTGATGAGACTATCTGTTGAACTAGTAACAACTTTCTCAAGCTTCAAATCTTTTGTTGACAAACATTGTTTCTTTTGAAGGTCTTACATGAACTGTTCACTACCTTAATATTAAATACCATTTCAAGCAACCCTAATCAGACAATTTTGTGCTCTGACATTGCCTGATATGAAACAGTCAGCTATTTTATATTTCTCCTTCATTATAAGTGCACATATTTTGAATATGTCTTGATACCTATATACTAAATAGCAAGAAAAACAGATTATTTCTTTGCCTGAAAAGGGCAAAGCACTAGTTCTGTTATCAGAGGCAAGTTGAGTTATGGCTTTATTTGGATTCCAGTCTCTTAGTTCCTCTCCATGAATAACCAATTATGATTCATCTTTCCAAATACCAGTTATTTCATAAATCCTGCTGGAGAGCACAGCAGTGTAGCTAAAGTGCTGTCATGGAGCTCTACCCATAAAGTCACTGATGCAGTTATAATATATCTGTACATAATTTAATTCCCTTGTTGCATGTCTTGAAGGTATGCATCCCTGTACTCTCACATTTAAAATCCTTTAATTAAGGATTCTCTTCCTTGTCTCTTGTATATATTTAGAATTCTAAACAGGTGCTGTTGTTAAAGTATTCAAGGGATTTAATTAGGCTGTCTGTTTCATATAGTAAAAGCCAGATTTGGTCTTCAGAGACCTCTAGTTTCTATGTCACAAGATGATTATTTTACTCAGCCATTATGATAACAGGTCCTGAAGTTCTGGCATGTCCTGGTTCTGCAATAATTTAATAATTTCCCTTCCACATTTGCTTTTGCAAGGTATGTCTGTTACAGAAAGTGATTTCTGCAGTGTCCTAAAAGAAATGAAAATGTTAGTGTTCTCCAGAATTTGCAGGAGATCTCATGTTGTCTCAGGACCCAATATGCCCCACTCTGCTGTTGCTGCAGCCCAGTAGCATGTTCCACTGTTCAAACATACAGCATCAGGAAGCAAACTGAGCAACTGAAAATGTGTTCATCATTGTGAATTAGAAGTTTGTATTAGGGTACCATTTTTTGAAGTCTGAAAGGTTAAATACATTTTAGTGTTAAAAAATGTGTCAGAAATAAAAAAGCAGAAGGCCCCCTTAGTAAATAAGGAAATTTAGGTTAAGAAAAAGAATGTTGTAGGAAAGAAACCTTCATTGCACTGCAACAGTAGGAAAACTGAACTGGAGATAGTCAAATACTCAGTTCATAAGCAATCCCAAGTCTAGTTAGTTTAAGCAATACCTACAGTGAAAGAGATTGAACAAAAATATCTGGGAAAATTTGTTTGCATTTCTCACAAAAAAGTTATTGTTGAAAAAACTAATTAATTTATTACAAATTTATTTATTACAAGCAGGCTGATCAGTGCTTATCTCAAATATGCATGGACCTTAATCACCTGAGAGTTATAGCAAGATTCACTTTTGTTTCAGTAGGATGAGAATCTTACCTAACAAGAGCCTATTGTTCAAAAGTCAGTATCTTAACTCTGCTGGCTAATCTTTTTGCCTTATCTTCCACATAACAGACACAGTGTGTGCTGCTATGTGTGGAGTAAGAAGTTAAAACCCAAATGTTTCTTTTATTTAATGACAAACATTTTAAGTTATGGAAAGAACAGCCAGTTAACAGAGAAGACAACTTGTCAAACTTAATCAAATTTTGTATTGAAGCTGATCTCTCATTACTGCTATTTCAAGTGATTTGGTGTTTCTGAAAGAATTTACTATGATACGTTGCAACACAATTGCAGATGATTTTGTAAGCATTCAATTAGTGGGATTTACTGGAACAGTACCTTTCTCTTAGCTTTGAGCTGCTCATGATATTTGTTGGATGTGTCACCTGGTATTTCTCCTCCCCAGAGGGTAATTCCCACCATGGAATAAGTGATGCCCATGACAAGCAGTGGGAAGCAGTAGACCAGCACAATCACGATAACGTGATATCTGCAATGAAAAGATATTAATGTGGTAAGTGCTTTCAGAGGGCTGCTAGAAGTAAGACTGCTATTTTAGCACAAAACATGTTTTATATTACTGGCTAGTTCTTGGTGTTTTCACTGTCATTTTGAAAGTCTGGAATTGCACTGCAAATTTATGTACATTTTAATGCATGTGCTTTGTGGGGTGTCTAATGCTGAGCCTGTACTAGTATATGTTGACTCTATAGTTATTGTGATTAGTGACTGCAGAATAAAGTGTGTTTGTCCATAACTAGCTGAGTTGATTTAATTGCACAGCCAAGTATCATGAGGGCAAGCTAGGCATTTGGAGCTGTAGTTTGGACCATAAATGAAAGAGGAAGATAAGTATTTTAGTGATATATTGGTGCAAAGATCCTGATAAGAGTCCTGTCACCCATTGTTCTTCATATGGCAGATCTGTTGCACGTAGGCAACACAGTTCTGCAGCCTGTGTGCAATATAGTCACCACTGCTGATGTCAGCACTGGGAAAACAAAGATCATTTATTTTGCCTCCTGGTAGTTCCTGGTTAAATGCCAGCTTCAGATAAAATCCTAGTGAACGATAAGTGAAGAATCCCCAGCTGTCACTGAGTGTGACCTTCCTGCCCTACAGAGAAATGTCTGTGTATGGCTCCTAAAGTGATAAAAATTATATGTGACTAGGATGTCTTTCACCTGCCTCAAAAAGAGCAAAAGGTCAAATTTGATTCTAGATGGTTACACAGACTTTCAGCCTTGAACACAATGTTTTTCTTAAATGTCAGCAATGACATGAAAGAACAGATGCCTAAGTAGGTACTTATTCCTAATTCTACTGGAGGGACAAACAGGATGTATTTAATTTAATTGACTGATATTCTCACTTTCAGAAAGTGGAACCAGTTACAGGTTATCCAGTTTTCTCTTTTGGACTAATATCTGACATGAGTAATTGTGATAGTGTAACAGAGTGAAGTGGCAAAATCCAGCCTTCCCATTAAGAGGTCTAAAGAAAAAAGCCTGGTTAGGGCCATCTCATTCTCTACAATTACCTGAAAGAGATTTTACTAAGGTGGATGTTTTTCTCTTCTCCCTAGTTACAAGAGAAGAAACACCTTCAGGCTGTGCCAGGGAATGTTTTGACTGAATACTAGGAAAATTTTATTCATGAGAAGGGTTGTTGAGCATAGGTACAGGCTGCCCAGAGGAGCAATTGATTCACCATAGATTCATTCACCAGAGATTTTGCCAACTCCATTGCAAGTCTAAACACCACCATGCACAAGTTTAAAAGAACAAAAGCTTACGTAAAATGCTGTTTTGGACCACCTGGCCATGCTACATAGCAAAGAGTTCTCCCAGGCATCACCTTGGTTATGGAGTATAGGCACTGGGGAAAAGCCAACAGGAATGCCAAAATCCATATGCTCCCAATGACCGCCTTGGTAGCAGTTGCAGAGAGCCTAGGTTTCAAGGGATCAATAATGGCCATATATCTGTAAAAGAAAGCAAAAACCTCTGTGTAAGAACTCTTCAGAGATTTGCATGTATCTAGAATCAGACAAGCTTTGGATAAAAGAGAAGGATAAAAGTGGAGACATTTGTCTTCCTGCAGTTCTGATGTCACTGTACTCTTTGTGTGGTTCAGCTCCAGTGAAGGCAGTGCTGGAAGAAGAAGCAGGTTCATTGGATATTATTTTGCAGCCATGGGACACCCAGTTAATCATATATATATATCAGTAGAGAAACTATTTTGCTAAGAGTTAGACTATTCTGTTACTGTAGAGCCTGATTGAAAAGCAATAATGCAGCTGGATCCTTTGTTACTCTGCTAGGTCATAAAACATTTATTTCTTATACAAAAATTTACAGCCAAGCTGTCAGGTTTGTTAGTCATCTGTCCCAAAGCTACAGGAACCTGATAAGTCCACGTGCATTTATTTCAGTAGAGATAGACTGACTTCACACTGTCTGCCAGAGAACACCAGAGCAAGTGATTCATGCAGAGACTGAGAGAGGAGCCAGTTTAGAACTGGTAAAAGCATTAGGGGAAATAGATGCATAAAGCAAGAAAACATCCCATTTGCCTTCTCAGTTCCCATGCTCCCAGGAAGGATAGCGTTCTTTGTGCTGCCCCATAATTGTATTGGCAATTCATGTATGCTGATAACCTTAGAAGAACATGCAAAAAAAGAATCAAAACGATTAAGTAATTTCAGTGTAAAATCTTAGGAAAAAAAAGAATTTTTTTTTTTTGAGAAAAAGCATCTAGACAGACAGTAATAGAAAAACAAGTCTTGTTTTCTGTTTTTGATCTGTTACAGATGCAAGGAACAAGGGAGACACAAAATTTATAGAAATCATTTTTTTTGGTGAATATATTGTGTTTGCTGCAATTGAATGACTCATTTCAAATGAAGGAAGGAGTGATATATTTTAATTGTTACAGAACACATCTGGGTTCTTGGCAGGCTTGTCCAAGATTTTTAGGTGTGGCCATTAGCCATGAGATAATAACAATAATATTTTTAAGATAATGTTCCTGATAAGAATTTGTGCAAGAATCTTCTGCATTCACATTTACCTGCTGTGGTACATAAATTTCATTCAATATAAAATTTTGGAAATTTTATATTTGACAGATGAGTAATTACAGAACAGATATTTGTTTTAGCAAAGCTAACTCTGTTTATAGTTAATGATAAAATATGTGATAAATCCAACATTGGTCATAATAGTGCTGTGCCTTTTCTAGTAGACATAACTGCCCTAATATCTTAAAACATCTAAGTGCTGTCAGAAACAGAGAGTGATTTAAAACAGCTTCAGTTCTGAATCATCAATTTCCATATCTGGTATTTCAAGCTTGTAAATTTTTTGTTTTTACTGCACTTTCTCCATAGGGTAACAGTTAGTTCCCCTCTCTTTCACTTGCCTTTTGGTTTTTTATTTCAGCTAAACTGGTGCTTCTGGTATTACATAATATGAAACAATTTTCAGTGCTGGGTGGATGTCTTCTGTTTCTTGAGAAGAGCAGTTGGATTGTTGCCCTCTAGCTCCTTTCTCTGCCGCAGAGTAAGTATCACTTGGTCAAGAAGTCAGGTTTGTATTCATGAGCCCTGTCTTTCAAATTGAGCTGGCTTTTGTGTGGACTGCCAAGAACTGTCCAAATATTTGAAGATCTTTACTTGTAGTAAGTGATAAGCTGTAAACAAATAATAATTTTCACATGCTTGTGAGACTCTTAAGGCATCTCCTTCTAGCCTGGAATTATTCCTTTGAATTGCTACTTTTCTTCAGATTGCACATTACTATTATTTTATGTGCTATTGTCAGATTTCTATTACAGTCACATTATTATTATTCCCAGTTATATTAATCTCACTCCCAGCAGATACCAACAGTAGTTCTTGTTGCCTAAGAGAAAATTTGGTTGTTTTATCTCCCCGTCTGCCCTTTAAAGACATGGATTGTTTGGGTGAAGTGACTCATACAGCTGTACTAATGGAAATTTTAACAGCTGGCTGAGTAACATAAGTCAAAGGACAAGGATCAGATGAAAAGCATGCTATTTATCTTTAGAGTTCAAATTTGAGTGATAAGCCAACAGCCTAGCTATTGCACAAGATTGATTACAAATATGTATCAGGCATTCATTCTAACAAGCAAAATGGAAAGGAAGTAGGGGAACTTTGACTATTCCCTCAATAATATCTTTGTGCTGGATAGATTTAGTGGAGAGTATTGACAGTTCTGTTACAGAGCCTTTGATAACAAATCTAAGTTATTCTACTTTGCCAGTACACTAATAATTACAGTGTGTTCTCTAAGTGTAAGTTCTCTAAGTGGCTTTTCTTAGAAACAAAATTGCTTAATTAACATAGTGAGATATTGCTTTATAACTGCAATTATTACATTCACTCAGATTTGTCATACATCTTTGGTAGCATTTTCTTAGAGAAACCATCATTGCCACAAGTATGTAAAGTAGAAAACGTGGAATGACCCTTCATTGAAGGTCAAAAACTACCTCCACATTTGAACAGAATCTGGTTGTTATCTATGGAGCCAGAAGAAGCCTTGAAAAGAACTGAGTTCTTCCTGCACTGTTAGCTGTAATTGGCAAAGGAGGTACACATGCTCCTGCTTATTATTTTGTTTGCTGTGTTATCTTGCTATTGCAGGTATCTAAGGGTAGTTTGTCTATCTATGAAGTAGTGGTAGCTAAATTTTCCCTTTGCTCTTGCTTTTGATCTTTCTCCATTCAGCAAGGGTGCTTCCCGAGGAATGAAAGCTCCTGCTAGCACAGGCTAGAGGTTCCATGCTTAGGTGTTGCTCAGAAAATCAGTGAGGTAAGGAGCCTGAGGATAGGATAATGGGTATGTATGATGAGGATATCGCCCCTGTATATTATGATTCCCCATGGCTGACAAGTGTCTGTCATATTTCATGGTGTAGCTCTGTCATTATGGCTATTTTTTTTGCTCTGTATGATATCCTTACATATACGAAGGATGGCAAAATGCCAGTTACAAGGGGGAAGAGTAGACATGCTGTCTGAATTGTGCTGTGAATGGTGCTGAACATGGTGTAGAAATAAAAGAAATGTTTGAATAGGCCAGGAGTGAAAGGGAGAATGATGAGATATAGGATCTAGCAAAAGAACTGAGACTAGGGAGCAGTTTGTTGAATAAAAAAAAGAATAGAAGTGAAAAGAGAAAATTGAGAAACTAATAGAAGAAGCAAAGAAAGGAGAATTGTAGAATAACAGCATATAGAAATTGTGTTGAGAGAAGAGAGAATAAGAAAGGAAACTGGGGGTAATGTAAGAGCAAAAGACATGACAAAAATCAGCTCTGCCATAGCAGAGATTCCAAGGTAAGTAGAAGTGGTATAAAACCAGAACATTTTGGCAGTGTGGCTATGTGGTGGCAAGCCCTTCTGCCTCTGCAGGTGTATGGGAGAGAGCTCCCAGAGAGTTTTTCTTTCTGTAATCGGCCAACCATAAGCAATGTGCAAGGGGGAACAGCAGGACTTCTTGGGTGCTCTGATGTCATCTGTCTTACAGACTGTTCTGCTATTCCACAGTTCTTTCACGTGGTCTGAGCTTCATAATAGAATCACAGAATAAGCTGAATTAGAAGTGACTCATGAGGGTCATTGAGTCCAACTCCTGCCCGTGCACAGGACCATCCCCAAGAATCACACTGTGGGCCTGAGAGCGCTATCCAGCTGAGACAGGCTGTGCTGTGCCCACTTCGCTGGGGAGCCTGTTCCAGTGCTCAGCCACCCTCGTGGAGAAAAACCTTTTCCTGATACCTGACCTAAACCTCCCCTGACTCAGCTTCATCCTGTTCCTCTGGGTCCTGACACTGGTCAGGAGGGTGAAGAAATCACAGCCTGTCCTTCTGCTTTCCCTTGTGAGGATGTTAAAGACTGCAATGAGGTCTCCTTTCAGTTTCCTTCTCTCTAGGCTAAGCAAGCCAAGTGACCTCAGCCACTCTTCATAAGGCTTCCCCTCCAGACCCTTCACCAGCCTTGTGGTTCTCATCTAGATGCTCTCTAGATAGATTAATGCCTTTTTTATGTTATAGTGCCCAAAATTTATGCAGTTGTTCTGAAGCCAGTGACAAATGCAGAAACCCTCATAGGTTCACTGTGTTCTGTGATATTTGTACACAGACCTTGTACCTCTCCGCATCTCCTCTCCCTAGACAGTAAAAGACTGTAGGCATTGAGATGAAGAAGGATTTCTAATGGCTACAAGCAACTGAAGCCTTGTTACACCACTGAAAAGCATTCTGGAGCCACACAGACATTTTTTCAGTGGGGTGCTGTGCCAATTTGCTTTGTAGTTTTGGACAATTACTGTTCAGTCAGTCACCAGACTTGATCAGTGTGATTCCCTGCTGAAGACAGGACTCTGAACTCCCACTGAGGTGGTTTGATTTAAAGATGGGACTTCTAATGCTTTCTCACTCCAGTGGGAGCTGTTGATAGTGCCACAGATAGCTTATTCCACACAACAAAGCAGGAATGTAAAATATACATTGCTGGAAGGAATGAACTCATTATACTCATTTATCATAACAAGCAAAAGTGATTATTACCCTACCCAACAAAACATTTATACTTGGAAAATAATTATAAGATGGAATATGCACATTTAGAAGTGCAGTTATGGAAATATGTGCAGGTAGAGTTCAAGACAGCACTTCCAAGACTGTGCTCAACAACTGCACCACATTCTTCTGTGTATGACTCCAGAGCATTTTGGGTAGCACTTCAATTTTATATGCACATCATTAGCACATGATTTTGTGTTTTGTGGCCATATGACATTCCATTGTCATCACTTCTCTTACAGCTTTATCTTGTGTTAATCTTTGTCCCTAATTGATTACTACTGAAGTCAGCAAGTTTTTCCACTGAGCTTAATGAGAAATCATTCAGGCTGCATGATATAATGGCTGGTGCATCGTGGTGTACTTGCTGC